TTTGTCCACCACAATATGTATTTCTAGATAAAGAGGAAATAAATCTGGAATATCTGATTCCAACTAGAAAAAAAAATAGCAGCATATAAAACTTAAAAATTTTCATAATTTATCATGAATTCTTTATTAATAACAAACCACTTATTGGATATTTCAAGGTGTTTGGTTCATACAATTGGTTAATATCAACATAAAGTGCTTTGAGTTTTACGGCAATGGATGCAAGTAATAAGAACACTGGTTATAAAGTTGTAACATATATCTCAATAGATTTTTTGTGAACTAAGAACAAAACACCTAGCATTTCTAACCGTCTATTTCATTTCAATATCAGAAATAAACTTCTGCTTTATAAATTATACAGGTGTTAAGGACTTTTTAAATAGTTACATTTTTCACTCGTTTCTGTATCCATGTCCTCTGCAGTATGACTTTGCAGTGCCTCCATCAAGAGGTAAGTCTATTTCCCATCTCAAACTAAACGGGGCCTGTCACTTGCTTGAGCCAGTGAATGCAGTAGAAGTGCTGTTGTGCCAATCCTAAGTGACCTTTCATACCACCTCCTGGGCTTGGAACCCCTGCTTGTACACATCTGGCCACTTTGCCAGATTGTAAGAAACAAGTGAGCTATCACCCCCTTTGCCCCCCACAAAAAAACAGAACAGGACAATGCTTAAAGAAAAAAGAAGCTGCTGAATTCCTGTAAGAGCATATTATAGTGCCTGAACGTACCCCTTTCCATCCCATCCCCCACATCCAGCTCGGTGGCATCCATGTTCCTGGTGTGGTTTGCTGGTGCCACAGGAACAGGTACACACTTGCTCTCAAAGAATTATGGCTGTGCATTTTGAGCTGTGCAAAGGCTCCCTAAAGGATTTGCTCAAGGGCTTTCCTTTGTCCTCTACCTTGAAACTTTCACAGGGCTGCGGAGGACTCCTAGGTGGTGTTTGTAAAAAGCATTTCAAGGCAAATACACTGGCTGCAGCCACCTATAGCAAAGGAAAACAGATGGGACAAGCAGCAGTGACATTGAAAAGCCCAGGAAGAAAGAGGCTGGGGAAGGATATGTGTGGGAAAATGAAGGCTTTGAAAATCTCTGGCATACACTGGGAAATACAGAAGGCAACCCACAATCCCAAGGCCGGACACACACTCCGAAAACACTTGAGAAGACACTAACTTTCTCCTGGCTGATCTTTAGGCACTGTGCAAGCAGGAGTGAACGCCAAGGCAGGGTTGTAATCCTCTAGAATAAGTGTTGCAGGGGTGCCCAAACAGAGTTCATGTGTGAAAACCGAAAAAGATTTTTTGTTTTTTTGGGGTTTTTTGCTCCAGTCATTTAAGGAAATCTCTGTCAAATCACGAGGTGACAACTTAACTAGCAATATTGTTAACAAAATATTTCTTTACCTTAGAAAAGTCAGTAAACAAACAACCCAGAATAAGCAGCAAAAACAAACCCTAGTGGGGAGTGAGGGAAAATCTGATTTCCAGCATTATCACATCAAAATACCCAAAATGTTCAGTTTTCAATAAAAATAAATTATGACACCTAAAATGAAACAATAAAGTGTGACCCATTCTCAGGGAAAACAGAAATAGAAACTGCCCCTAAGGGAGCCCAGACATTGGACTTAGTAGACAAAGACTATAAATTAACTGCTTTAAATAAGTTCAAAAAGCTAAGGAAAACCATGGACAAAGAACAAAAGGAAACCGGAAGAATGATGCCACATACATAGAGAATGTCAATAAAAATATGGAAATTATAAAAAGGAAACTGTGGAGCTGAAAAGTACAATAACCAATGAAAATTCACTAGAGGGATTCAGCAACAGAGTTGAGCAGGCAGAAAAAAAGATCAGCAAACTTCACAACAATTCATCAAGATTATTCAGTCTGAAGAGCA